TTTTTTTTTTTTTTTTTTGACGAAATTATTGAAAATTATAGGGATTATACAGCCTTGGGTAAATCGTGTTTTTAAAAACGGGCTTGAATGGCTGACACGATTCTGGACTATCTGGTTATCTTGTGGCTAAGTGCTTTTTATTTGAAACTCGATCTGTAAATGACATTCTCATCAAAATTCTATTTGGTACTGAAATTTCGTTAAATGGGTACACGATAATATTCGCTTTTTATTTTCAAATATTTCAGATTTAAAATGCAGCTCGAAAGAGTTTTCAGTTATTTGTGACGATTGGAAAATTAAATAAAAAATATTTGGTAATGTGATAAAATAATATTTCGTGCATTTATCGTACACGTGCATTATAGTCGGATTTTATTAATCAAACATGTATGCATTTCAGTTTTCCATCAAATATTTACGAAAAAATCCAAGTGCAAATATCAACCATTTTATATTCGACGATCTTATCGTGTATTTTATATTTTCTTTCCTACCTTTGAACATATACGTAAATATATGAGTAAGATTTTTAAATTCTCATAAAAACAGATTTTTCAATTAATATAAAATGGAACATATAGAGAAAAAGGAATTAAAAAATGTTTCCATTTTCAGGTTGGAATTATTCAAGAAAGTTCCTAATCTTCGAGTCCTCGCTTGTGGTGGCGACGGTACAGTCGGTTGGGTGCTGTCGATTCTGGATCAGATCGGTGCATCCCCACCACCAGCAGTGGGAGTGCTCCCTCTGGGGACCGGAAACGACCTGGCCAGAGCCCTCGGCTGGGGCGGCGGTTACACGGACGAGCCGATCGGGAAGATCCTGACGAACATCGGAGAGAGCGACACCACATTGCTGGACAGGTGGCAGTTGCTCGTGGAGAGGAACCCTGACGCGCAGGGCGACGACGATAACGGCAAAGGCAAAGAGAATCTACCTCTGAACGTCGTTAATAATTACTTCTCCCTTGGTGTGGACGCTCACATCGCCCTCGAATTTCACGAAGCTCGAGGTTAGTCCCAATGGCCTCCTCTTCGAGCCTTCCCCGAATGGGATTCCCCTGCGGCGCGCAACAGTTCCTTTAAATTATTTAGAAACGGTAGTGTTGAGACGTCGAACTGCGTGGAAAGTACTTATTTCGATACTTGTTACCATGCAAACCTCCTTCGATACAGCCATGGTGTTCAGGGTGTTAGCATTGAGCGTATGTGCGTTTTCTGTATAGTCGAGAATGATATTGGATGTAGAGTGAGAGTAAGATAGAGTACTTCAGAGGATGGTAGAAGGTTTGAGGAATTTAATGGATGGAGTCTATGTAAAATGAATCTTCTGTTTCCTGTATTTCGTTTGTGTTATTAGAGCAAGGATAAAAATTATAAAATTTGTTTTAAAATATCAAATTTGTTAGAAATTATAAATACGTTGGGTAGAATTACTAACTCAATTAAAGTGAGTGCTTGTAGGCTTGTTCCTTTTTGCTGTTAGTGAGGACGTGCAGCTGTTATGTGTGCTAACTTAGCTTCATTGTAACATTTTGGTTATTAATATCTATGCATAGAATATTTGAGCACACATTATGAGTGTAATATAGTCGTAGGCTTAAAGAACTGTTTACATTAATTTATATTAATATCTATAAATTATATTAACAAGTTTGTATAGATAAAACAGAAAGTCAAAATTAAACTCAATTGAATTACAGAGGCGCATCCAGAGAGGTTCAACTCGCGGTTGAGAAACAAAATGTTTTACGGTCAGATGGGTGGTAAAGATCTTGTGAGGCGGAAGTGGAAGGATCTATCGGAATTCGTGACCCTGGACTGCGACGGCCAGGACATGACGCCGAAGCTAAAGGAGCATCGTGTCCATGCTATAGTCTTCTTGAATATCGCCTCTTACGGCGGTGGAACCCATCCTTGGGGTGCTGCTAGTGGGACTAAGGAACCATCGACGGAGGATGGGTTGATCGAGGTCGTTGGTTTGACCACGTATCAGCTTCCACTTCTTCAAGCAGGTGGACATGGTACCTGTATTGCACAGTGCAGCACAGCTAAGCTGATTACCACGAGGACCATCCCAATGCAGGTAACTCTTTGTCATGTGAAACATTTAAGTTTCCTTTTAATTTTTTAATTTAATTTATCAGTTGGTTACAACATTGATTTTGTTTTACATGTTTTTTTAGGAACTGGATACTCGAATATAATTTGAAAGTGTTTAAGAAACAGACACAATTATGAATTAAAGCATCTCTTAACAAAATTCTTATTTTAAGGAAGATGGACCCTTGGTTGATTTTGGTGTTATTGTAATTTCATTATTTTGATTAATTCTTTAATTTCTTTTACTTCTTTATTTGTGAACGTTCGCTTTAGTGGAATACCTCTTTTACTTTTATGTTGTTGCAAAATGTAATAAAAAAAAGAACGTTTAATAATAACATAAGGTAATTGAGTAGTATTGATGCAGCAGTTTAATGATTTTGTATAATCAAGCAGAGGCTTGGAATGTAGTAAAAATGAGTACAGAAAGTCAGTTACTTTTGTAATTAAGATTTTCCGAAACTATATCAAGAAGATATAATTGATTATCTCGTTCATATTCTGTTGGTAGCTTTTAAAAATATAATTAAAATAGATTTACAGAGAGTTCTAACAAAATTTTTAGCAGTGAACTAATATTTTGTCACATAAAATATTGTTTATCATGTACAAAAGGATCTATTATTCTTACTTCAGGTTGATGGTGAAGCTTGTCGACTGTTGCCATCCATTATAACTTTAAAATTACTGAACAAAGCGACGATGCTAGCGAAACGAAGAAATGCAGGCAAACCCCAACAGGATGTGAAACTCGAGAGGTTAAAACTACCGGTAATGAAGATCAAGATGTCAGATTACGAGAGATATCACCACGACAAGGATATGTTGAAGAAGGCCGCGGTCACGTGGATTGCGGATCCACTTGATCTCGACGCCACCATGGATTTAGAATCCTTGAGGAAGACACTGGCGAAAGACTATAATATGGACACTTGTTGCTTCCTCGACTGTAAGTACTACTGTACAATGTGTTTACTCAAACGATTTGCAGGGCTTTCTGATTCCTGAGGATAATTTGACAAAGACAATTATTAACAAAAATTTGTCCATTGTATCTGGCTAATATAAAATAATAACAGTCATTTCTGCAATTAAATTTATATAATTAAATTCAATTTAATGTAGGTAGTTCATTAACAACTTATATTATATTACCGTAAATGAATAAAATCGGTACCTATTGTAAGACCTGTATTGTATAGCCTGAAACTTTAAATTACAATTTAAATTATACCGTATGATTGTCCAAATCAATTTTCAGCGTGCACAGCAGAGCGATTCTTCAGGATCGATAGAGCCCAAGAGCAACTCCATTACGTGACCGATGTAGCTGTCGAAGTGCTGTATCTTCTCGAGGAGAGTGCAACCAATCAATCTAGTGAGCTTGAGGGAACGAAGATGTCCGCGAGTCAAGAACCGGAAACAGCTCATCCGTCGCCAAGGTACTTCTTTTCATTCATCGAATTGGAAATTCTTGTTCCATTCGTCCACGGTAGATTCATTGTGATTGCTCTGCGTGTGATCCTTCTTTTGATACCTAATGAATATCGTATTGTATGTTCTTATCCTTTTATATTTAAACAACACCTTAAAACTGTTGATTGAATCACAATGTTATTTTCTGTTGAACTTAGATTGACTGTTCAGAACCATCAAGGTGTAAATTTTATCATAATGTTTAAGAACTGACTTTGTTACTTTGTCCCTTTCCCTTCTGATCTGTTGACTCTTTTATCTGAGATATCCGTTTTACATTTTCCTTTACTAAGAGTTTTCTTTAATTCTAAATACAGTGTAATTAAACTGTATAAAATGTCTTCCAAAAAGAGCTACTCGTGGTGTTTCTTAAAATCAGAGGAATGGTTTTGAGCAGCCAATTCACATTAAGTAGAGAATTATATTTATTTTATATAATGTAGTGACTTCTATATTTTTCTTATATCTGTATTAGCTATAGTGAAGTTATTAATTAATTCTGTATATAATAACAATAAGCAAGAGCTACACAATTGACTCGTAGTCTCGCAATAATACCTTGTTTGAACCTTTTATTGCCACTTCACACATTCGTCCGTGTGTCCATGATATCTGTAATGGTAATGCAATCCTATCATTAGATTAATAGAAAGAACGTGTAATATAGCGAAGAACGACCAACGACAAATGCAGCCATGACAGCAGAGCAGCCTAAAGAAGAACAATCTAAAGAAACGTCAAAGGCGCAGCCAGATGCGAAACCTCAGGATGCAGCGCCTGAAACACCAGCTGAGACACCAGTTGAAGCAACATCTACAGTACCAGCTGAGGCATCACCTAAAGCACCAGCTAAAACACCAGTTGAAACGCCAGCTGAGACACCAGCTGAAGCACCAGCTGAAGCACCAGCTGAAACGAAAACACAGGATGAGTCTCAGGATACTGCGAAACCTCATGAATCGATGAGTAAAGACGCGTCTCAAGATGCATCTCTGAATATGAAAAAGGAGGAGAAGGTATCTGGAGACGCGAATAAGCAAAGCAGTTCTTCAAAATCGATCTCTGCGACTGTTGCCGCTCAGACGCAACGTCAGGCACCACCCATGTTCATTAGGTAAGCTATTATTATCTTACTTTCCATACCAGTTTAATGTAAACGATGTGACAATACATTGATGTGTAATTTGAAGTCTATAGAAGTTATAATGGATGTTAAGAAATGGATCTTATGGAGATTCGTTTATGTAATGTTTTAGAATTTTTATTTTTGCTTGAATGTACCATATTCTAAGAATTTTCTATTGAAGGAGTAAAAGAGCTGTTTCTTTGAGCGTGAAGTGAAATTATTTATTAAAAAAATTAGGTATTAAATATATTTTGTAAAAGAAAATGGTACTACCTTTATCTAAAACAAGTTGAAATCTCTATTTCAAATTTGATTACTCACTTGGTATTCCTCTTAGTTGCATTCTTCCCAAACAAACCTGCATCTATTCACCCCCATACCTAGCTCTCTCTATAGAGAAGCTTTAATTTGGTTAAAGAACTTAGTAGGCCTCTTTCATTTGATTTCTATTGCAAAGGAATGGTAGCTAATGCTGGGATGTACATTAGTGCATCTCTCTTGCAAATGTTTCTCTGAATCAATGAAATAGAGTATCCTTTCAGAATATTTACCTTTACGCTTTAATTTCTTTCCTTGTGGTTAACCATAGCTTTAACATTTCATGTATACTATTTTCTCTCTTCAGAATTCAATACCTATGTACTCTTATATTAAATAAAAATCAGTGGTCAAAAAGGAAAGAATTATTGTTTGAATAACTAATTGGAGTATAAAAGCTATAAAAGGATAAAAATTATTTTGTTACAGTCCACGAGATAGACTCTTTAGCCTGAGTTCTGAGGTCCATACTTTTAACACAAGACTATTGGAGAAAGCCAGCGACGGTATTTTGAAAGCTGCGAAAATCGGTGATCTACAGGCTTTGAAGGAACTACACGAGAAAGGATACTCCCTTTTATCTATCGACTCTTCTGGACAAACTGCTCTTCACATGGCCTCGAGATATGGTCACAAGGATATTGTTAGATACCTCATCGCTTGCGCACCACCGACTATTCTCAATATGATTGACAACGACAAGTAAGTCACTCATAATTATAATTCTTGCAATACCCAAAATAAAAACAGATGAAGAAGAGACAGGTGAGTAGCATAAATGATACGGAAGTGTTCCCTCTGACATTTCAGAGGTCCAACATTTAGCTTGATCTTTAGCCACACTGGCCTAAGAGTAAATTGGAAAATTTTTTGTTTGCACTTTAAAGTCTGTTTACAACGAAACACAGTGCCGATCAAAGAAGAGGTCTATTCCTGGCGCGTAAATAAGAGTAAACAAAAAAAGGCCTGTGCTTTCTAATTGCAGAGGTCAGACCGCTCTGCACAAAGCGGCTCAATATAAGCGTCGTTCCATTTGCTGCATGTTAGTGGCTGGCGGTGCTTCTTTAATCATCAAGGATCGACGCGGCTACACACCTCGCGATCTAGCCTTGCAAGCGGAGGATCGTGACCTCGCAGCGTATTTATGCAGTGAGTGTTTTGATCTTTTTCTCCGGATGCTCGCGTTTTACGAAGGAAAACATTCTCAGGTTAAATTGTGTATATAGCAGCTTGGCAAGTCACAAAGTGTTAGAAAATTAGGGTTAGTTAGAAGAAATAAAAATTCAAGTTAATAATATTACCAAGTAAGAGTGAAGGAAACATTTCTTTTTTCATCTAACACTTTATCAAATGGGAATGCTATTTTCATTTTTTTCCCTAATTAGAAATTCCTCTTTCCCATAATCTTAAAAAAATATTGAATCAAATGCAGGGGAAATGTTTCCTCCTATTTTTAATTTGAAAAGGTATTACTATAGAGGTTTTGTATACAAGGTGAGTTAAAGAAAAGATCCTGCAGTCAAAGCTTCAAGCCATTTTAATATTACAGTACAGCACTTTTTGTTTATGATACAATCTATTATAAACACTCAATAAGTATATTTTCAAATAATTTTACAATTTTTTTTTTAGATAGTCTTGGTGATACAAACTATCATCTATTAGTACCTACTTGTCGTGACTGGATATTTTCTTTAAAATTTCTTTCCATCAGAAACTTCACTTAAATTATTTATCCGCTTTATTTACCCCGTGCATAAAGCCTGTTGCAATATGAAAAACCGTTGATAAGGATATGCAAAAGTTTTATAAAGAACTATCCGTTAGTGCTCTCCATTGGAGAAAGCCTTTGAAAGCAGCTATTTTCCCTACGCGACTTTTAATGGTTACTCTATCAGACATTCTATCAAACTGAAATCCTTTTTGTAACTCCGCTGGATCGTTAAATTGGCATTGTTCGCTGATATATAGGTCAAGAGGAGTTCCAGCTGTCAACGGAAGATATGGAGAATGCCCTTTGACCTCCGGCCGTAATTGGTAGGGCCTGAGCTGATACCGAATAGATTAGGAACATTCGATGGAACAACCGGACGAAGATCCAGGCGAAGAAATCGTTGTGGACATCGGTTATCAACACACTTTCGTTTCCATTCTCGCGTAAGTCGCACGTGATAAATCGATACTCCTTTCATCGATATATTAGCAGCCATGTCAATGTGTATTTACGAAGGTATTCTCCAACCTTTCTCGTCGAAGCCTCGAGATCCCTTTTCACGAGCGTGCAAATTAATTGCATTCTGCATAGGTGAATTATACACACGTACACGCGTTTCACACAGTTTACAGATTTTTCCATCGATTACGAGCCTCTACATGCATAAATATGTATATGTATATTTCGAAGTCGTACCCTCGCATAGTCAGGCGAGCAAGTGTACATTGCGTACGCGCCTTTCCTCTCGAGCCTCGTCTTACCGACCACGGAAGCACGCGAGCCGTGTTTCGCTCGCGATCTTCGCGAAGATAGCGAATGCTGAGTAGTAACACGCCTGTAGGTGGTAGAAGAAAAATTCCCCGATGAGGGATTTTTTTGCTCATTCGCGTTGTTGCTATTGTCAAACGTATCCGCGTGGCAGGCAAGTTTCAAGCATGGGATTTTACGGGGGCGACCCGAAAAACCGAATTAGTGAGAGACCAGGATCAAAGAAGAATGATAATCGGAGATTTACTCGTAGCTAATGTTATAAAGACTAATATCTTCACGTATTCGTTTATATGGTTTTTCTTTTATATTTTTCTACGTTCCATTTCTAGGTATTACGAGTTGGCTGAGATATATAAGTAACTATCCTTATCGATTTAGCGCTGTTGTTCCACGTAGACGCGATTTTTACATTTTTCACCTCCGCGACTAGTGACGCCATCGCCTTCTTTCCGCGCGGAGTACACGGAACCTTAGGGGTAGTTGTTCACAGAGTTGGACAGAATTTTTCGTTCCAGTTATTCCTTCGACCGTGTTCAGTTCGTTAGAATCGATTACTCTAATTTCTTTTGTATTGTAGTTGCGCCGATGATATAGAAACATTTATGATCGTTCCTTGCGTGAGTTTCTCCTTTTTACCAATCGCTCTATCAAGTCGTGTTCGAAGAAACGCTCTTCATTATTCATGGTCGACCAATGAGATACATGTTTTATCGCGATACCCGTTTCTTGAGTTTGAAGGAAAGGAAGTTCTATCCGACTCTGCTGGTATCCGAACGTTCACTTTACTATGTCGTTGAATTATTCTCTTCGCTTGTTCTAGGATACCTCGTTGCATCGGGTACACATATCTTTTTCTATATAAAAACAAAGTGTCGCGTTAATATACATATATTATACATATACATATATTTTCTACGTACGTTAAATACTGATATAATATTTATTGTCCTTAAGATACAAAGGTTTCTTCACGATGCTGTTTTTTCTTGTCCGTGAACATTCGTCGAACTTTTTGGCACTCTTGGACACACGTACACATACACACGCCAACCTATGAATACACACAGGTATTTACACATACGAATTCAGCGAAGAAAGGAGGAAATTATTAAAGACGAAGTAAATGGATTTGATAGATGCGAAAATTTGAAAGAGATACATACGGATAGCTGGATAGGATGAACGATCAGCTGTGGAAGCTTCAAGCACAGGATCGGGGTGATATAATCGATTTAGCTTGGTTGTGTGGTCGTCTGAAATTTAATCGATATGTTTTCTAGTATTATATTTAATATTAAAATACAATCAGAATTCTCGTGAAAGAAAACATCGATTCAAACGAAATTGTGCCAATCAGTCGATGAACCGATGGAACCTTAAGTTGTGTTTTCGTGTGTGCAATATGCGTAGAATTCGTACATCCTTGTACAATTTTTCTTGGTCCAAAATGTCTTATTTCCAAGTGTAAATCGTGAAACGAATTCTCAATTTTCCATTTGTCCTAAAATGTTGTTCCATTCTTCTGGTATCATTTATTCTGTTAAAAATAAAGAATATCGTTAATGTTTCTATTTTCTTTAGTATAGTAGTTCAATTTTGAGCGAGTAGATTTTCAGAAACCATTAAAAATTAACCCTAGGGATTTTAAGAGAATTCGTGTATTGCGAACATGTAAACGCGGCTTAAAAATTCCAGTATTGAAAAGAGATCCATTGTATCGCGTCGATCCTTAAAAATTCTATTTATACGCCAATAATGGGAGCCTTCACGATAACACAAGCATCGATGTTCGCCCATTTACGCGATATTAATCAGTTGAGAAACAAAAGCAAGCAGAGATCGGACGAAAATTGGAGGTGTGATAAGTGAAGAGGTTATGTGCTCGAAGAAAAGAATTATCGTAATTAAGAATTATCATTATCGGTACCAAAATGAAAAAGGGGATCAACGTACGAACACCAATTAGCTTTTAAAATGACGGTCTATCGTCGCTTATTATTATACTGTTACTAGACTACTCTAATTTTACTGTCGAATTATATCGTGTAACGTGTATATATATATAGTACTCCTTCGAGCATTATTGGTCCTACGGACACGTGAGATCGTTTTGAAACACAGTGGAGTCACGATGATATACCTGTAAATGTTTACAAGGTAAGTTAACCATGTTGGACACTCGCGAGTATTATACGTTCACGAATGTCTAATATTAAATACTCGACTCGATTCGCGGTAGTATAAGTATTCAAATAACCATTTCGAAAATTGTATTATAGCGGATAATAGTTTCTCGTTTCAAGCGTATCGTGTGTACTTCTTTTAAACGCTATTGTCAGGGGAACGCCATCTTTGATCCCCAGTTTTCGATTATTACGATCTACGTATTTTTATTATTAAAGGTGATCCAAGGGATTCGCAAGAAACGATCCTTGAACGCTTCAACGATTTTACGATCTAGTTGTTGTAGTTCTCTTCAGCAAGAGGAAACGAAATCTTCGAAATTCAATCGACACGAAGTCGATGTTTAATGTAGAAAAATGTTCTACGAATGAATTCGTCTAAAAATTTCTGACACGAACCTAACCTCAAATTTAGCCACGTTAATTAATGCAGGAGAAAAAAGAGGAAGGACATTATAAATGGTAAGTCGACTCGAATAAATCGAGAGAAATCGTATTCGCGCGTGTCCGCTCCTCGTGTGTCTTTATTCTCTCTAATTAAACTGATATTTTTAATGATCGAGTTAGAGAAGTTCTGCGGTGGACATTTCGTGCATGCGCGTACGGCCGCGTATCAAGTAAATTAATTGTAAGTATATCAGTAGAATACAGGTATCTAATAACAATGGTGAAATCGATTCTAGAAATGCCTTCGAGCGTAAGATACGTTGTTCTGATTATTTTTTATATGTAGTGTAATCACGATGCCTTTGTAATTCTATCCCGGGGAAACGCGCGACGTTCATCGAACGAACGATTGATTTTCCATTATATTTAATGTCCCTGTTATTTAATGAAAACGAACGTGATTCTTCGTGCAATGAACGTCGCAAAGATTTAGAAAAGCATGATAAAGAGGAAGCTAGAGCTATACGCTAAAATAAGCTGAAATATTAGTTGATCATTTTATTTAATTCGAAGACAGCTCCGTCGATCATTTAGGTTAAGCCGAATGAACATATTTTTTTTTTTAATTTAAACGAAATATTAATTTTTGATGTTATAAATTAAAAATTTGTTACTTCAAATATTATTTGAATCTCATCGAATTTAAATTATATTTATGTCACAAATAAAACACTTTCCTTTATTGGTTTTCATTCCCGCGTTTATCTTTTGTTTTCCTTAGTTTAAGAATCGTACAACAGTCACCGTTTCTTCGAGTTTCGTCGAAGTGTCTCGCGGAGACTCTCGGTTCCCAGGATTGCGTTATCTTTGTTATTGTTCATCGTGATTGTAGCCACCTATGTAAGGTTTCAATTTGTAGACTAAAACGTTGCTTTTCAGGAAATGCTCCGTGATAAGAAGGTTCTTGTGATTGTTCTGACGTTTCTTGTTTCACGAAAGATTCTTCGAAGATAAATCGTTCAATCGATCAAGGAGTTTTAAATACTTCGAATCGTGTTAAATCGTCGTGTTATTACGTAAATTGTAAGACATCTTTTTCTTATTTCGTCTATCGTCTATTAAAATCGCGATGCACTCGAATCGATTCAATTACACGGAGATTTCGATGCATGTTTCGCGTAAACTTCCTTATCGATCGAGTTAGGCATCGGTTATAATACGAATTTTGCACTTTTTGAATCGTAAATCACACTCGTATCAGCGTGTAAATGTCTGAAAAGAATATTTTGCTAGATCTTAAGTGAATCCATACAGAGATACGATGATTAATAACTTGTCGACAAATTTACGGTAATGGGGTTACAATAAGCTAATGCTCGATGATGATGTGATCAATCAATTGGGGGCAGAGGTTAACAAAGGTCGAATGAGTAATAGCATTATAAATGTTAAAGTTCAATTTCATTCATAGCCAACAAATGTTCCGCATTCATTTTAAGATATTATTAGAACACAAATAGTATATTTACTGCAAAGGACATTCGTCTGAATTATTATAAAAATTAAAGTAAAATAGCAGTAACTTCAATTGTAAAATACTACAATATTATACTTAACTGTTGACAGAAATGAAATCAGAAATACTTGCTAATATTTCAAATTGCTAGTATATAAATTTCATTCCACCTGTTCTTCGCACCATTTTCGATTCCGCGATCGATAATTGTCTCAATAAAAATTTAATTCTTTTCGGGGATGTTCTCGCTACAGTGGCAGGACTAATTCTATTTTGTACGTTATCCAATATTTTCTCGTTAAATCGTGTACATATCGGAGAGTCTCCTATAACTATTATCGAAATCTTAAATAGTCGTAATTTAAAATATTGAACTTAAAAAAAGAAAAAGAACACGATCGATTACCTCTAGAAACGTTTGTCTTTTTTAAAGCTATCCGTGACATTTCATTCTCTTAACATTAGTAGTTAATTTGTTCATATGTGCGTGTATAAGTGTATTTTTACCAA